GTTTTGTGCCAGTACTTTCTAATGCAGGCAGGAATCCTCACTTGCACTAGAAGAAAGCAGCAGGGAAAAGCAGCATTTATTTAGCTTAATTTAGCAAATGATTCAGTTTATTTACGTCCTCGTCTTTCTGCTGTTTTTAACTCTTGTTGGAACTGCTGCTGCCCATCAAAAGCAGCAGAGTTCCACACCTCTTTGGTATCCTGTTATTTTCCTTGTAGTATCTTGGTCTGGAAGGTGATGGGAATCAGGCTGGGCTCAAACTCCTGATTTATCTAGAAGAAATTGTGATCTCAAGAGAATGCAGACCCGATTGGATAATAGAGAAGTGAACTTGTAATGTGAAGCAGCGAACAGTTCCATCCTAAGAAGCTGTGAAACCTGAATCAGGCTGTTGTTGAGCCTGCCGCCGGCAGATTGGCAGAGTGAGATCTAAACATTTGACCTTGGAGCTGGATGAGCCTTGGTGAGCACACTGGGTCTGTGACTGCTCTGCATTGTGCTCCGGGCAAACCCGCGCCAGATGAGCCAGCTCCGGTGCCCACAGTGCTCAAATATTAATCTGGTAGCAACAGGGTCTGGTTTCCTCACCTTGCACACTGTGCTAATAAAAACAGGAACCAAACAAAAGATAAATTGGTCTGTGACTGTCATGTTTTGTGAAAGCTCCCCAGGGCCTGAAGCACGGCCGTCACTCATGTTGTGAATCTGCTTCCCCCTTTTCTCTCTCTAAAGGGCTGCTCCCACTACCAGTAGCAAATTATTACAATTAATTACCTGTAAGGTAAAAGATGCAATGAAATACTGCCTCTTCCTACCTCCACACTGCAAAGTCCCATTCTCCTCCTCTCTTACTGGAGATCTCACCAGTGGATCCAAATTTTCAAGAAGAAGAAGGGCCTAAAAAAAGCACAAGTTCCTCCTTCTGCCAATACAGGAGCTTCTTGCTGGTCCTCAGCTATGCAGCATGCTGAGCAAACGGGGAAAATTCAGTACTGTAACTGCCGCGGCCTCCTGTCTATTTAACAATAAATTATTGGAGCTGATAATTTCTACAAATTCACTTGCTTGCTAACATGCACAGGCAGAGGAAATGTAGGTTCTAGTTAAGATTAAGGATTTTCACAGTGTAACATTTTCCTTGCTCGGCTGTTAGTTTCAGAACAGTTGCCCACTGGTATTTATTGTTCTGAGAAATATGTTTGTGAGGATGAATTTTTGTACTTAGAATGGCCCAAGTATAAAATAATTTAAGAATCATATGCTCACTCCACACTAAGTTATAAGTTCTTAGCTCACTACAACTACTTCGTTCTGAGACACTAATTAATTTCCCTCTGCTTATGCTGGTTAGCTTGACAATTTTGCATCTCTCAGTTTGACTAAAGAAAAATGTTTTAATCTGTTTCAGATGAGAAGTCTCAGAGAAGCAATGTTTGGGTGGAAATCACTCACACTAATGGGCATTTATTTTAAAACAGTTGTTTCCACTGTAGCTAAAATTATGAAAACAAATCTTCTTGCCTAGCATTGTATAAACATTTTACAAAATGTACATTTTGGGACAAATTCGAGTCCAGCTGTATGCCTTTTATCTTTACATTTTTAAGTTGCTCTCCTCCTCCACCCCTCCCCCCAACAACCACAGCTAGCTGGAAGCCAGAATTTCTTCTGCAAATGTCCGAGCTCTAAGAACACAAACTTGTTTAAGCTCAGACCATATTTGGAAGAGATCTGGGTCAAGAAAAATAATCAAAGGAAAGTGCATTCCTGGAGCGTCACGTGAGGAGGCCAGAACACGCACACAGGGCCCGGCGCTGACGCTCGGATAAAGTGAAGGAGCCACGCAGGACCTTCCCCAGTAACTCGCTGCAAGCAGGCTTGGGGCATGGGCTGCTTTTACACCAACGTTCACACCGAGAAGAACCTTACTGGCCTATTTAAGGGCATTCAGGCAAATTTAGAAAAGGGTTTCTTAACAAAGGTATTCAGCAGCACACCATCAATAGAATGTGTCCATGGTTAAAAAATAATTCTAGCAAGCTACACAGGCTCCATTCTCACAGATACACATACCTGTCTCTAGCCCTGTCACTGGTTTAGCTGAAGTAACAGCTGTTTCTTACAAATGTAAATGTGTCTGAAGGACTGAAGTACCAAAGTGCATTCTCTCTTCCCCAGACTCTAGCATTCCTTTACTTATTATTTTAGGAACATCCCAAATCTAGCCTTTGGGGTTTGTTTCATATTGGGCTATTACAGTTGCAGAATTTTAACAAAGCTTTGCTTAAAGATCTTTTTTTTTTTTTTTGTCTTCCATGTGGAAGACTTGAGTGAGAAAAGCTCCTACAGATGACATGTTGAGTCTCAGAATCTTTTATTCAATTAGCGGCCAAATACACATTAAATAGACTGCACCGCTTTAATTGTACAGGTAAAATCTCAACCAGCCAGGACAGGGAACAGTTACTGAATGTGCCAGGCTGTGCTCTACACTCATTACATTTTGGTTACAGCTTTTACAGCATAAAGTAGGCCTTAAGCTGCCTGTTTAACAAAACAAGGGCTGACATCGACATGCAACATAGCTAGGGTAGTATAGAATTCTAAACTATCATTGCACATTTTTAATCTTGCTGTAATATTTTTTCCCCACGCAGAAGATTGGATTTAGTCCTCCTCTCCTGTTTTCCTGGCTAGGACACAGAGCAAAACCTCTGCCCTTTGCCCACTCATACAGAGAGTACCTGATGTGGAAAACAGTGGCACAGGCCTCCCCCTCTCAGGCTCCAGCCACCCAGTGTTTACTGCCTCTTCCAGATTCACAGACCATCACCTACACAGCAGTGCTCTCCTGCTTCACTGCCACCTAAAAGTGCCAGTGTCCTGTTCCCTGAGAACAGCAACATCCCTGGAATTATCACCCATCACCACTGGCACTGCATGACAACACTGCTGCATTACTGCGACATGCAAGCAAAACCTCCCTCCTGACCCACTATCAAACGCCTGTATCACCTATCCCCTCAAAATACCACTCTTTACTCAAGCACTGAAAGTGAAAGGCAGCCTAAGAAGCTGACAGAATATCACCCTGGGCAGGTAACAGGCCAAGCTCTGCTTATGCATATTAAAAAATAAGAAATATAGCATCCCTGCGCTCTTCCAACAACTGGTGACAGGAATCTGTCCAGGGCAGATTCCCTGGAAAGCAGCCAAACTGCGATGTTTATAAAGAACTTGTCTATAACCATGGACACACTTGGAAAGAAGTAAATATAACATTTTTCATTACTTGTGTTCTCTCCCAACTTTTATTCTCGTTTCCATTTTTTTCCCCCTTATTTGCTAATTTGACGTTTCTTTTCCTCTGGCTTATATGCATTTTGCTCCTGCTTTCATGCATCCAAACACCTTCACTGCAACTTTCTTAACTGAGTCCAAGCTGCATCTCACTGCATTTTGAGCAGAAAACCACAAGCACTAGTTATGGTACACATCACTCTACTCCAAAAAGTACGAGGTTAACTGACACCAGAAAAAAAACGCAGAAGCAGTGTAAGTGCAGAAAACAGATGAATTATTCAGAAAGACAGTTTCTGAAAAATATACATTGAAATTATTTTTATTTTTGCTGGAATTTAAAAAACATAGGAATTACATTTAAAAACCCCAGGAAATTAAAGATTATACATCGTTGCATCTCTGAAATCCAACAGTGCAAATCTGGAAATCACACAAATGTCTCCATCATGCCTTTTTTAGGAGATACCAATATATATATGAAACAAGATTTTTCAAGAAGTGTCAGACTGTCCAAACTTGAAAGTGCTCTTCATTAAGTACACCAAAATCTGTCACTCTTCTGGGAGAACACTGTCAAAAAGTTAGACAATTCAACAAACAAGTTGTATGAAACAGACCAAACCCCAGTTCTTAAGGGAAGGAAACCTGATGTATTTAAAGGGAACTACAGGGCTTCAGTTTGAGATTTCTGTTTCAAATTTTGAGAAGTGTTATTGTGTGTGCTTCTTCTCTTTGTTTTACTCAGTGTATTAAGTACTAAGTTATGGGTGTTCTTAGCCTAAATTTATACTGTTAAGTTGGTATAATCATTACTTTCCTGTATTGCAAAAAAGGTACACTGATGTTAGAGTCACGGACAGTTGTATGCAAACAGAAACAGTCATTTAAATTACCTGAAGCTGGGAAACAGCGGTTGTGAATTTATACAGCCATGATGCAGGTTGTATGATCTGTCTTCACCAGGGTTAAAGCAATATATACACAGCTGTTTTAAAATGACACATTTCTTCTCAACATGTCAGGTAAGAAAAGCTTTCTACAAAAGTCCTTTTAAAAGTCATCATCCTGAAAGTCTTGCAGCTGCTAGAATGAGAGGATTCAAATTGCTACCGCTTAGGCTCCAGATAAGGAGACAGGAAAGTTAAATGCTTAAGAGTAGTAAGTGTCCATCATGAATACTAATGATTATGGGGATAAGACCTCAAAAAAGAAAGGTCCTGCCTGTCCCAATAGCTTATTGACTGCAATGATAGTCAATATTTGTGGAATTCACTCATAAATATTATTCATTTTTACTTAAACCCATGTCCTAACAGTAATAAAGACAACAACCTGGGGGGAAAAATCACATTAAATGTATATATAAGAACATTATAAAAAAGTGACAAAGTCATATTTAATTACAAAAGAGGTTTCTCTTTTTTTTCTGAGAATTTCTTTTTGAACTAAACAGGCTTTCATTCTTATGTCAAAGAGTGAGGAAGAAAAAAATCAAATCCTAAAATTCTGATGTTTAGAAAAGAACAGGAAAGCTATTTTCATACTACAAAACATTTCACTTTACAAAAAAACCAAAGAGTTATTCTATTACCTGGACAATAAAGACAAAATGGGACGTGAAAAGGATAAGATCTTAAAACTAGACCTCAAGTATTTTTGGATAAAATTCTCTACTCTGATCACTGCAAGACTCTCTGACCTTAGGGGAACATTTGTACAGGAAACGAATGCGTGTGGAACCAGCCAGAGAGATGCTATGGATCAGGAGAAAATCCTGCTTTTATTTTGGTGTTTTATCATTTTTCCAGTATAAACTGATACGGCGTGAACCATCCCCACAACAGGAAGCAGGTACATTCTAACAATTCCCAACACAAATCCCAACATTGTTTAATTTACTTAACAGTATAGTCTGTCAGGAAAATTAAAATCTGTTTTATTTTATATTCTTTATGATGAAAAGTATATAAACTGCACTTTTAAATTAAATCATGCTCTGCCAAAACCGGTCTGCTTTAAGACTGATAAATGTAGTGGAGAGAATTAAGATGTTTCAGCAAGTATCAATTTTCAGTTAAAAAAAACGTCCGCAAGACAAAAAAAAAAATCTTAATTTACAATAAGCAGTGTAAACAGCAAAAACAACAGAAGCCACAAAGTTTCACGCACCAGCCACTGGCAGACAGATAACTCCAAATACTCATAGAACTTTGTATCTTCCTTTGTTGGTTGGTTGGTATGAATTTTGCTGCAAATAAAGGACAGAATAATCAGTTAAAAGTGAAAACGGATACATGAATTGCAATAAAACCCCACTAACAATCAATCCCCATTACATGTAAATAAGCAGTTCCTTTGGAAAATATTTTTGTGGGGAGGTCAAGAATTTTGAAAAAGAAACAGAACTACCAATAGTGGTTCAGTGGGACCGCTGGAACTGACTGCTGGTTTGAAAGGCTACTCAAGAGAAAAAGCCAATGATGCTGTTAAGTCTAAGGTAGTATCACTGAAGGTTATTCTAGAGAAAGCCAAGGTTTCTTCAACCAGAGAACTCAAAATACAATTTCTCAAGACAATATCTTACTTGAAAACTTGAAGACAGCTGATTATTGTCTGGGTAGGCTGTTAAGCTATGTCAAAACAAATCTCTCAACACATAGAAAATATTAAAACAAGAGGAATAATTCTCCTCTCCCCTGCCTGATGGTGCTGAAATAAGGAAATGTGTTTGGAGCTCACTCTTTAAGGGGTCTTCATTCAAAAAGCTCCGTTAATGTGTGATCCCCATCTGCTGGCTGGATAACAGCCGTAGGTCTGGCTGACTGAACACAGCAATATCTTTTCTAGGCTGTTCAATGAAACAGTGTTTTTGAGATCTATAGGCTCCAGTCCCTGATATTAATAAAAATGTACGCCAGAGTGTCAACATTTGTAGCAATCGACCTCATAGAGCATAAATTAAGGCACTTTCCCTCTGCATTCTGGATATTTCACTCACCAATCTGATGAGCTCCTCTTTTATAAGTCGTGTGATTTCTGCCTTTGCTTTCTGTACAGCCAGTTCATTGGCACCTGAAGACAAAAAAGTATTACCATCTTAAACATTGTCTGTATGTGAAGCCTGCAGAATAAACATTGCTGTCTGTTTTCAGAAACACTGTGAAATTTGCTGAATATCCTCAACTATTTGCTGAAGAACACTCCAGTCCTGTATAGACTGCCACAGCCAGACCGTGTTCTGTTTTAAGGAGGACACTTCAGTCAGTCATAAATTACACTATTCAGAAATACCTAGGATTAGAGGTTTCTTTGAGAAAAACTCTACTCAACCATTATGAGATTTGCAAAGTTTTTGTTGTAGTAGTTGATGTAATTTCTTACAACTTTAACAGTCAAAACCCACACAATTCCATTTTCTTCCTTGTTTCACACTGGCACAGACATCTTTGTGCTTATTCTGATTTTTTTTTCTCCTTTCTTTCCCTCTCCTCCAACTGATTCCATACATGTCTGCTGTTGTTCTGTCGCAGGTCAGTCTTGACAGCAGAAACATCTCTGTGATCCCCATGGATCATTTGAAAAAGTGTATTAAGATAAATGAGTGTTTCTTTAGGAATTATATTAATTTGAAAAGTGACTACAGTGGGTCTGTAAGTGAGCATCCAGACATTATGACTACAGAGATTCCATGTCTAATTAAAAAACTAGTGTCGTATCTTTCACTGAAACATTTATAAAAAGAATACGTACTTTCTATAGCCAAATAAATCTTTCGTTCTCCTTCCTTGGGTTCTTTGCCTGGAGGGAAATAAGTTCCTCTGATTGTAATAGCAGCTTCAGAATATTCACTGATTCTCTGTAGCGCTTCTTTGGAGGTAACTTTCCATCTGGCAGTCTGCAAGGTAAAGGATATGGGAGGATCAACAAGGAGAAAGGCATCACACAAAATGGCAATCCAAAGGTTAGCTGACATTTTAGACAAACAAGAACACTGCACTGTGAAAATCGGTCATGACATTCTACCTCAGATGAGGTAGACCAGAGCAGCAGTATTCTGCATGGCAGAAATACTCAAATAAAAAAAAAGCAGAGAGCAGCATCAGTCATAGCAGTATGGCCTTTGAAATAGAATGCCAGACGCTGACAAAGATCTGGATACGAGAGAAGTCAGTGGCAGAGGGTGAAAAGATTTTTGTACAATGAGGAATAGTTGTTTTTCTGATATTCTCTGGAATATGTACAAAGCATTGAGTAGCTATAGGCTGAGAAGTAATCACAGATAATGTAGTAATTTCAATTAGATATTATAAGAAACACAGACAAAATACTTTATTGGTATAATCATAGTCTAAGCTGTGAAGACAGCCTTTGTTCAATAACTTGATTATAGCAAAATGGTTACTTGCCTGTGGGAAGTCATTGATCTCTAATTCTTCTTCATATCTCTTAAAGGATTCATTCTGTCCTCCATCCTGTTTCTCTTCCTCCTGCTTCTCTATGGGCACATAATTGAGCTTAGCGTTGATTTTTTCAGCCAGTTGCTCTGCAATGGTCTTGGCAGACACAGTAGGAGCTTGAATGGTGCCTCCTCTCAGGATAGCATTTGTAGCCTGCTGCATCACATCCTGTAAAAAAAAAAAATAGGTCCATGTTGAGAACAAGGTAGCCAAAACAAGTCCTATATAGACCAACAAGGGTTTCATTAAAGCTTTCTGTGTAATATAATTGTCCACATAACAAATACATTATTCCAAACTTCTCTTCTTTCCTTCCTTTCGATAACTCCCCTCACACCTGCATAGAAAAGCTCTTACTGGTCTTTTGTATCTTCAGCTCAAAATACCTTTGGACATTCCAGACCACATTAACTGAAATCTAAATGGATTGTATATCACATGCTTCAGCAGAGAAGGATGTTCTGCAACTCTGCTAAAGCTGACAAAACCCAATTGTGTAATTTTATCGGTAATCAATTAACCCTTTGCCAGGGCAGACAAAGCATTTCCAGTTCTGTATTACAACTTCTTATCATATTAGCTCAATTACAAAGCCTACAACTTATAACTGAGTTTGCCCAGCACAAATGAACTAAATAGTGCAGTATGTTATTAGTGTACAGAAAAACTAGATATAATGTCAGTCACAGAGTAAAGAATTGAACAACCTTCATTTAAAAAAAAAAAAAAGGAAAAAAATTGCTCTGTAAACAGCCTGACCTTAAAGTGGAAGGGGACGAATACTTGTGCCTCTGCTCCGAGGTTCTTCTGGGCATTGATTCTCAAAGCCAGTCTTTTAGCAATTTCCAATTTTTCTGCATTCCCAGCTGACGGTGTAGGAGCATTTGATGTTCCTGGTGTTCCCATGTCTTTTACTCTTTTCTTTGAATTGAACATGCTTTCAATTTGTTCATCGATCTAAAGAAAATAACAATTATTATATCACTGTATTTACCATTAGGTAGTTGTGTCACCCTAGAGAAAGAAAACACTAAGGTGCATTTAGTTTACATGCTTTTAATGAAATAGATCTTGTATAAATGGTAGAAGCCTGCCCAGAACTACAACTCAACAAAAGGAGCAGATGATCTAATAATGAATGGAGCAACAAATATCCATGTGTTCTGCAATGTGTTACATAACCTACAGGGGAAAACCCAAATATATTGGAAATCTTTATACAACTTAAATCTCGTTTTCAGGTGCTTACATCAACAGCTGTATCTTCGTCATCTGAATCCTGCAAGCCAAGAGCTGCTTTTTGGAGCTTCTTTCTTTCATTAGCCAAAGCCTGTTCAGTTTCATCAAATTTAAAACCTTTGCCAGAGAATCCACTGCTTTTTTTAATCAACTTTCCCTCCTGAAAACAAAAACATATATTTTCATACTTAGCAGTTTAAAAACCCAATTCCCATAGTCATAAAATAACTATAAAATATACAAAGAGTTTTGAAGTTATTTATTTTAAAAGCAAATCCTAGGACATTTAGAAAGCTCTTCCCATTTTAAAAACTGTATTTTACAATGAAGTGTAATAACAAAGCTATGCTAATTCAGCAGATAGAAACAATACTCTGTTGGGAGTTCCTGTAAGTATACATTTTAAATGCTTTTCAAATGCAGTAAAAAAACCCCTCCAGTTCTTATATCGGAAGAACTCCGAAGTCTCTCTTCTTAGCATGAGCAAGATCCTCTGATGGTGAGAGCTCTACAAATAATAAGTTCTTTAGAGAATTTATATTATCCTTTATGTGAATTTTGATAAAAGCTGAAGTGCCCCTTTATGCAGTAGACATTTCTCTATCACATACCAGATGACAATATTTAAATTATTAAGAACAGTCCAGTAAATGACATTCAGATCCCAATCTTGAAAACACTTCTATGCTTACCTAAGCATACATCTGTGTTCTCAGTGATGTCAGTGAGATGACTCATGAATGCATACTGTGCAGCTGGACCCACGTGCATACACATTAAACCCAGACCAAAGCCCACTACAGAAGAAAGAATTACTTACAGCCTTCTGTTGGTCTTTGAAGTCAGCCCAGAGCTTCTCCAAATCAGTAGGAATTGGAGTCCCGGACAATTCCAAAGCCTTAATGATATCACCAGCATACCGTGCCTGATCCTCAGTAATGAATGTATATGCATACCCCTGGTCAAAATTAATTTAAAAGATAATAAAGAAAAATCTTTCTAAAGACATTTTATCTCTAAATTTATTGAAGCACCCTTGCACAGATGCTGTTGTTCTGGTCAATAAAAGTAACCATGATATTCATGCATAAACTGTGTTAGTGGGAATGGAGAGTGAATAATGTGATTTGCCAGAAAGCTGATACAGAGATAATCAGCCACAGATGGTAGAAACTGACGTCTTTCCTTTCAATCTTGTCATTGTTAAAAATTTGGAAAATAAAATCTTATACAGTTAGTAGGTCACATTTCCAACAGTGAAAAACACCCGAACTTTCAGCCACAAATGGATTTAAAAGAACATGCATACATCAGAAGAACATGTACGTTCCAACTTTCACAGTACTAAAATTCAGAATATATTTTACACGTTATCACTCAAAACCTTAGGTGTACTCTGAAGGAAAACCCTCTTCCCACCAATAACATTACTCCTTCTGTAACTGTCACTTGGGAACACCCTGATCAAGCAATAAATAAGGAAAAATACATACTTTATTGCCGGCTCGTCCTGTTCGACCTGCTCGGTGCACATAATCTTCATAATGGTTGGGACAGCTGTAATTGACCACCAGCATCAATTGTTTTACATCCAAGCCTCTTGCTGCTACAGATGTGGCCACCAGAAGTTTGCAAGTTCCATTCTTGAAATCATTAATGATGCTGTCCCTGTCATACTGATCAATACCTGCAAGAAACCAGACAAAACAGTTAATTATAAAGCTCTGCTTTGAGCCAAGAGAATTACAGGTCAAAACACTCTCCGACTTTGAACACCTGAAAGCCTAAGCAAATAAAATTTCCATACGTTCACACTTTTACAGGCAAAATGCATTAGCCAGAATAAGAAATCTGTCTATTATTCACAATAACAAAACTTTCAGTGTTTCCTCTACAAAAAGATGTTTTCCCACACCAAGATCCTGAAAAGTTTCTGTTTGACTTCTTATGTTCAATGGAGACCTCATCTGGAGGCTCTGTCTGTTCTCTAAAGGCAACAGAAATCTCAGAAGAATGAGAGTATTTTTTCCTCTTCCATTGTTGCAGTAAATGAACAGTGGTTTTGTACTTATTAGTTACTGTATTTTTAAGAGCACTATACATATCGAAAGTTTTAAAATACTCTGGGATGGACAATATTCTAAAGACATTTCCTCCTCTTGCTATTAAACTACTTCCGTTATATTACTACTTGATGGCAGAAAAGTGCAACAACAGCTGCTATTATTGTGGAATCTCAAATAAAAATATTCTAGAATACTCCCCCAATGACATTCACTGCTCTGCAATAGCAAGTAGTTAGTAATATTCCCTGAGAGGTGTTAACTCAGTAACAATCCTGTTGCACAGAGACAAGATTTGGCACCTGATGACATCTCACAGCGAACAATAAAAGGTAATTACGGAAAACTGTCATGTCTATTTCAAATTAAGAGACAAATGTATTTCCCAATTCTCAAGCAAAACCTGCTTAGGAAGAAATAATAATTGGTACTATACAGGAACTAAGTAACTTCTCTTTGTAACTACTGAATACCAATATTCTAGTTTAACGTTGTTAATATAAATCCTGAAGATTGCAGATTACCTCCATGAAGAGACAAACAAGGATAAGAGGCTCTCATTAAATCTTTCAACAACCCATCGGCGTGTTCTTGTTTATCTACAAATATGATAACGGATCCTTTCTCCTGATAGTGTCCCAGTAGCTCCAATAACTTCAAAAACTTTTTATCCTCTTCTATGACAATCTGCAAAAAGACATACAAAAGCAAAACAGAGAGAGTATAAATTGTATCTTAAGTCATTAAACACATTCAATGTGCATAAAAATAAAAATCAGGAACAGGAGATTACTTTTTCGGGCTGTTTCCACAGCTAGCTGAAAAACTGCTGCTCAGCTTAGTGGTATAAAACCAAGTTTAAAAAAAAGCGATCACATTGCATTTGCAGATTAGGGAGTCAGTTTATTCTGAGTTCATGTTTAATAAGGTCACTAAACTTCTGAAAATAAAAGCTCTGTGGGTATGTCGGTTTATATTCAATATTGCTGGAAATAATCTTTTGCAAGCAAATGCGAAGATAAGCGAGGCTGATGTGTAATACTCACAACATGTTGCTCCACATCAGAACAGACAACGCTTCTGCCTCCGACCTGCACCTCTATAGGCTTACTTAGGATTCGCCGAGCTAATGCCTCCATAGCTCTGGGAAAAGTAGCAGAAAACATGACAGTCTGACGATCAGGCCTGACGTTGTCTACAATGCGCATAACCTGGTTTGAGAAAACATTCCCGGTTAATACCCAAGTGCTGGGATTGAACTTCACAAACAAACAGTTGTCATTTTTAAAGTCAGGTGGTATCTGCACTACACAGACTACAAATGTCTTTACAGATTTCCTCTTGGGACCTAGGTGCTGGCAGTGGAAGACAGGCAAAACTTGCTGGATTGGAAAGGAAGTTGAGTGGCAATATGCAACCCAGCAACAGCCCAGCAGAAATCTTAAAACATGCAGCAGAAACCCTACAGCTCAAGAGACAAAATAAAGGCATTTCCCTAGTTTTGCAGGACAATATAGCATGACAACAACTGAGAGAGTCCTGGATGTCCAAAGCTGCCAGCAAGTAATTTGTCACCAACATTTCCAATGTTTTGTTCCTGTCTCCTGCACAACATTGCCAGGGGACATCAAAGACTTTATAAGCAGGCTGCAACTACTAATACAACACTTGCATCAAGGGATTACATGGCCACAAGTATCCAAAACAAGTGTGTAAAAAAAATTAGTATATGAGAAAAATCTAAGTTATATAAGAATGTATTGAAAACAAAGCATGTGAGGATAAGAGAGTGTAGCACATCTTTTTGAATGCTCGTGGGCAGTGTAATAGAAATGTAGGATTGCAAAATCCTGTAAGTGGAAAATAGCATCTTGTGGCAATATCATCCATGTCATTAATTACCTGAGGCTCAAAACCCATGTCAAACATTCTGTCTGCTTCATCAAGTACAACATATGTGACTCTACGGAGATTTGTCACCCGACCTGTGAAAGGAGAGGAAAAAACACATGGGAAACAAAATCAAAAGGAAATCTAGTTTCCCTCAGGAATATATTTTTTAAAATGTTATATAGTCTCACTATCTTCTAATAAAGATATTAATAAATTGTTTAAATAAATTCACCAAATGTGAATTTTAATGTTCTCATTTTAATCACATATACATTCTGGGAAATGCGTAAGTATGCACAAGGCCCTTTATTTTGTCAAACTCATCTCTTGCATACCATCATAGGGCCAGAAGAACCTGTAAAATTCAGAAAACTGCCCTCGCCAAAACACATCATAAAACTAAGACTGAGATGAAGCAAGGAGCCACATCAGCCATTATCTGACAGCGCCACCTAGAAAAAAACATATTAGAGATTACAGCGCATGTGTGGAAGGCAAAGTCCAGTGCTAACTGTTGCAGCCTCAGAAAAATTCCTTTTATACATATAATCTGTAATGCTTCTTTGGAGATAGAAATAACTATTTGAGGATAATCATACTAATTCTACTTAACTGCTAATAATATGCATAAAACAGAGTAAGCAGTCTTGTCAAAATGAATATATAAAGATTAAAACCTACCCAGTAACACTACGAAACGTAAAATTAAGAACCACCCCAAACTCTGGGACAGCTGGAAACAGAATAAGCACGTCATATATCTGGGAACATTTTGAAATTATGACAGACAGGATAATTAGCACCCTTCCCAAACAAGCAGCTAAGAGATTCCCTTTCATGAGAAGGATTTAACTCAAGGATTTAAGAATCATATTCTCCAATGACATGAAAGTGAACACATTCAGTTCCAAATAACTGTGGAGTGACACTGTCAAACGCTCTCAGAATGGAACAGATTTGTCACATTTTCTACAACTATCACTCAGACTTGTGCCTATCAAACTACAGTAGAATTTGGTCCTTTCAGCTTCAGCAAATTGTAGCTGAATCCTTAAACTATTATTTAGAGATTAAGCGCTGCATTTTTTTAAGATACGGAATTCATACTTAAGGAACAAAATAAATATTTCTTAAAATCTACATATCTATTTAACACCTTAACACTTTCATCCCCAAATAATAACTTTGTAAAATTACTTGGGAACAGCATTAATGTACCTACCTTTGACGATTTAAGTCTTGGAAGCCCAGTTCTATATGTCTTGAAGGTACTTTTTCCACAGAAGTTAAATAATGTCAACAGTTTAGTAGAGGTTTTGATGTGGAATAATAATAAAACTTTATCTAATAAGCATGCAATGGTTACACTAGGACAAAACCTCTTAAAGCTGCAGTGGCTCAGTTTAATCAATCTGAATATTTGATGTAAGGTCAGTTCTTTTACTTAGGGAGGGCTTCTTTGTCTGGTTTTTAAAACCAACAGATAAAGGCAGAGTCACCCACTTTTACATAAGAGTGTCTAAGTGCTGAGCTACACTAACAATCATAAAGGATCAATGGGCAGACAAAAGAAGCAACTGTTATACAACCTTAATCTAAAGGACTTGAAGTTAAAAAATTTGGACCAGCGCATTTTAAGCTTAACAATGATAAACATTCTCAGAAACTCTTCAAGAATGTGGTATTTCCTGTCCTCCCCAAAATAGTCAAACCAATATATGATTACACCTATTATTATTGTTGTTATATATTCTCAATAAGTAGATAGTGCAGCCTGAAGAGATATAAGAAAATTCCATAAGACCATTTATCAAAATACATGATCTTTTGAATTTGTTAGAATTACACAACAAATATAAAAAATTCTCCATAGGAAAAGGTTTTCTACTCACCATTGTTAGCTGCTAACATATCAATCATACGTCCAGGTGTGCAAACAATAATTTCAGCACCTCTTTTGAGTTCAGCTATCTGATTTTAAAACAGATTAAACAAACTATTAGAGTGGATTTTTGCTTTATGTTGGTTTTTTTAAAACACATATCACCTCACGAAAAAGAAAACTACATACACTATAATACAGCTGTTCTACCAATATGAATTGTTTACATAAAGATTTTACTTAGCAATTTCTTTAAGTCTCTGAAGTTAATCTCTAAACTACTTTGACACACAATATTTGATAATGCAATAAACCAAAGTTAACATTTTCTGGCTTTTGTTATCTTTAGGGGAACTCTCATCAAAATACAGCTTCTAAGTAACTTTTGAACTACCACATCCCACTAACAGTTTAATTACTGCCATGCTCAGTACATACGTAAAAAGAAAGTCTGGAACTTTTCAGGACCATACTTGAGAATTTTCAAGAAGATCAGTACATTAAGGGCTAAGTTATGTGCAAACGCTTAAGCTTTTGCATTACTACGTACAGAGAAAATCCATCACAAAGGCTGCAAATGCACTGGATTTATGGGAAAGAGAAAGGAAGCCAGGTATGTCTTTTGCATACCTGTTCACTGATTCCTGTTCCTCCATAAACACAGACAACTCGAAGTCCAAGTGTCTTTGAGAATTTCTTACACTCCTTGGTAATCTGCAATGCCAACTCGCGAGTCGGTGTCATGATGACAGCTGAGAAGGAAAGCATTTTCATCATACGTTGCAATAGAAGAGACGTTATTTATACAGTAAAAATTAATCTTTTGTAATGATGTTTACAGCAACTTATATGTATTTTTTAAAATGTAATTTCGAGAAAAAGAATGAGGATGGGGTGGAAATCTGGTCGAAGCTTCAAAATCAAAGGAGTAAGGTCTCCCTTCCAGATCTACAGACACGCAAGTGCTCTTGGAACAACATTAGATAGCACAGTGATCACAAACAACATTAAACAGCATGGCGATCATTAACTAAATTAAAAAAAGCTACTCATTAATGGACATCAGTAAGTAAGCATTCCTCCCTACAACCAAGAGAAGAACTGAAGCACCTTCTAAAGCATATGCTTGAGTTTTTCTTTATTTAAATAGCGATTTTGAAAATAAAAGCTTTGTACCTATGGGACCTTCTCCTTCTTCTAGCGCTCTCTGATCCATAATGTGTCTGAACATGGGCAACAGAAATGCAATAGTTTTTCCGCTTCCTGTTTTGGCAATGCCAATCAAATCACGACCATTCATAATTGCTGGGATAGCCTGGGTTTGAATGGGAGTGGGCTTTTCATAGCCATGTCTTAAAGAAAGGAAAAAAAAGATATTTTAAGAACAAAACCATATTTCACAGATGTGAATCACAAAATCATGCTTTAAAAATTTGCATTCATGTTTACATATGTATATCAGTGCCATTCAGAAAATACAGCTTAAAAATGAGCAGCAAAAGCATGATACAAATGGCAGAAGGAATAGTTCGTAACAGTAGTTCAATACTGAGTGATAAACACTCTGATGACTATATGTCACATGTACAAACATGGACATGTTGCATTATGCAACCAAAAAAAAGGTTTTCTCGTAAGTGTACGATAGAACACAGTGAGCACAATCAATAATTATATAGTTCAGAATGTGGTTGCTTGCTTACTTTTTGAGGGCAGTGAGAATCTTCATGGAAATACCACACTGCACCCAGGTTTTTATTGGTTTGGGGCAGCCTTTTCCCTTCACTGTAATTCCTTCCAACTCCAGCCTGTACACATTCACCTCTGAAACAGAGTTTGCGTTACAACAGAGTCAAACTTGACATTTCTCTACTACCTTGATCAAAATATTCTTGATCTGTCCCTGAACATGAAATACTAATTTTATCACCACCAGAAAAACAGCTTTTAGCTTTTTATTTATACAGGAGGTAAGTGGAAAGGACTAAACGTAAAATTTTAAATCAAAGCCTCATATTTAATTATATGAAGTTGTCAATAATAGTGAGCTAACTGATTTGGTGTTTTTCTATACCAAGTTGCTCCAAATGCTCTTTATATTCCAATACAATCTGCTGTTTCTTTAATAGTACCCAAGGTGTTCCAATTGTGTTCTTCCTTACCTTCTGGAGTCATTTTAGCTAGTTCTGGCACTTCAACATAGAAGTTTTTCCTGAAAGGTTCGTATTCTATCTTTCCATGATCCACTGGTTCTAGCAGCTTTCTCTGCTTGGTCTGATAGCCGGTAAGGGCAGTCTGAAGGTCAACTTCCTCCTCTTCTGAGGAATACTGTATAGATTAGAATTTGTGTGTAGATTAGTATGAGTGGTATTCTGAGAGGCTCTGGTTTCTCATTTATAGAGGAACTTCGATCAGAAGCAACAGTTACTCCACACCATATTAGGCCAGATACTGAAAACCTGCTCTCAGTTTAACAAGAGTCCCAATTCTTTCACCCATTTCTGACTTCACAGACAGCAATGTACCTACCCATTCCCTTAATAACTATTCAACTTGGCATAGCATTTTGTAGCCCCAGGCAGAATCAAATGCCTTTCTACTGTTTCCTAAAATGAATGAGTGATTTGGAAATTAATATATTTACACTTACTAAGAAATTCAGCAGAAATATAACACACATACCCCATTTTTTCAGATCAGATACATGCAACTGAATGTGCAGACTGAGCAGCTGCACACATAAACACTCTGTACTGGCTCGTGGGTCATTCACACACAGGATCGCTGGGACTGGCTGCCCACTTACAGTAATGTGAACACCTGAACTGAACACACACTACATGTGACATACACCAGCCCCATCATATTATGAATAATTACAGAGCCAGACAACCTCATGTACTCATTCAGTTCTCATCTCTATTAACGCTGCCTCTGAACAATAAAGCTGTGATGGCAATTTCCAAAAAAAACCAGCACACGTACAAGAACTGGGTAAGATCAAAAATCTTATGACCTTGGTTCTGCAAATTAAATAACCAAACATTTATCTCCTAGGAGGTGGAAAAATCCCAGGACTATCCTCATTCTCATGCCTCATATGAGAGGCACACTGCCTCTTCATAGTAGAAATACAAGGCACTTCCATTACCTCCATTGCATCTTGGTCGTTTTCCATGAGCTCCCCTTTCTTCTTTTCTGACTCTACAGCTGCCTTTTTGGTTGTCACCACGGTTACTACTTTGGTAACAGTGGGTCCGGATTTCTACAAACACAGTTAAGAAAAATTATTGCACTATAAAACAAAAAATGTACTGTATAAAATACATAGAATATTTATACTTCTGAATGCATTATGGTGGCGTTTTCTTCTACTTCTTTCAGTGAACTTTTATCAGAATAATGCTTGACAAAAACACCAGGAAATCAGAGTTACGGCAAACAGGCATTAAAAGCATCTAACTTCTTTTTTTGCACTTCCCCCCCGTTTTTTTCAAAGTCATTTTGATATTAAAACACAAAGCTATTTTAAAAGACAAAGATAAGGAAACTTAATAAGTGATTTTACCTTTTCACTCCCACCTCCACCTTTCACACTTCTCATATTGAACTTCTTGACCTCTTCTTTTACTTCTTCCATATAAGCATCCAAAGGATCTAACTCTTCATCTTCAGCCTCCTCGCCTTCTTTTTCTCCTTCTGCAGTTTCCTCTTCATCATCTAATACAAGCAAGAAAGATGGGAATAAAACATACAGGGAAGGAGAAAAGTGCTCACATGTTGAATTATTAGTCTACCCAAATAACCACAGTCCAGTTTTATTACTATATATTTTTTCCTCATACAAATCTCCTCACTTTGTTAATCTCAATTGTATCTTAAACCATTTGAAGCCATGAACAGATTTAGGCTTTGTTATTTCATAGTTCACATTCTGAAAAGTAATTAAATGCTTTAAAGATAATGTAATAAAAATATTATTAGGGACAAAAGTATTTTAACTGTTACCATCATCATCTTCTAAGCTCCATTTTTTCCCCTGTTTCATCTCTTCAATTTCTTTTTTCAGTTCTCCTATGTTTTCCATAGCCTTCTTGCGTTGTTCTTCCCTCCATTTCTCCACTCTTTCTTTTCGTTTTCTCATTTCTTCTTCTAGTTTGTTCTGATCAAAATTCTATGATAAAACCCAACCAAATAGCAAAAAATTAATGGCCACTGGCTTTAGCCTGTGTTTCTTCAAACAAATATAACTGTTGTGTGAACATGCCATTGAAGACTGGACACCCACACACTTACCAGAACAGAAGTAAATGAAAAATACTAACATCAGCTATAACATTTTCAAGTAAGAAATCCAGTTAACGATTTTATTTTTCATTATAGTAGCTGGTATATAATTTTTAAGATAAGTGAGTTTCAACTTATTTTAGCCATTGCTTCGTAAAAGACTAAAGAATTTTCATGTTACCTTCTACTTCCAGAAGTCCTTCTAGTACAAAAGCCTGTGGCTGGTTTATGTGCGGGGAGCCCTCACTGACAGTGCAGCGGCTATTAACAAAGGAGGGTGAGTAACAAGGTGCTGGTTTAGAAGAGTTAGCTAAAACTGATAGTTTGGGAATTCTTCAGCTAGGCACATCTTTTCATGTCACGGAACAAGGCAAAGTGAGCTTCTCTCTCTCTTTGTTTGACTCCTGCCTGGGTCCAAAGCCACAAAAATTTTCAGCTCCTCTACTGACACCTAATATGTGAAAAATGCGAGATCCTTCACACTCGTATGTGGTTTGCAGTCTAAGCAGTTTGAAATCTTGAACTGAGAAACATGTTTCTTACACCAAGAATTGGAATCATGCCCTATGACAGGAGTCTGTTACTGAAGAGAATGCTCTCTCATTCCACGGGGATTTTGTCCAGCTCTAAGAACAGGCTTTCTTTTCTCAATGTAGTAACGGATGGCTAACGTCATGCCTGGTTTAAATTTTATCTTTTAAATTTATAAGTGTTAAAAGCTTCTACCTCTGTGGCCACGGCATTTGTGGTGGCATCTTTATCCTTCTCGTCTTCTTTGTCGTCTTTTTTCTTTTCTTTGGAAACTTCCACACCTTCTGTCTTTTCTTTAGATCTTGATCTGAAAGGTAAGATCAAAGGTATCTTAGAACATTACAGCTTTTCTCAGGGCAGGGGTACACACATGCTGGACAGAAACAGAACTATGAACACTCTGTACAGGTTTGCCTTTTCAAATACCTTACAAAGCACACTGCCTCCGAGTGAATCTTTCCATTTCACAGAACTGTTCCCTCATGTTGAATCTATTTCAATCCACCGATTCTGTCTGTAATTAGAGAACACAAGTACCTGTTTTCTGTTTTCCTGTTCTTGCTTGGACTGGAGGATCGAGACCGTCTACCTCTGCTTCTGCTTCTAGAGCGCCTCCTCTCTCGGCTCCGGGATCTTCTTCTCTCTCGGCTCCGTTCCCTTTCTCTACTTCTTGAACGTCTGCCATGGAACAAAATTGTATTTATTTAGCACGTGATCATAGTATAATTTTAGCCTGCTATTGAGGAACAGGTTATAAAAGGAACTCAACAATCAACAAGACTACTAAGACTTTACAAACTCTAGCAGCAGTAGCTAGAAAACATTTAATAATCAAAAACGTTAAACATAGTAAAACCTATCATGAACAACACTAAAGTAAATAATTAGTGGAAGAACATCAATATTCAGATGACAGGCATTTGTACCTACTTCGACTGAAATTGATAACTCGTACCTTTGACGTTTTCTGTCACGCGACCGAGACCTTCTCTTGTCCCTACTGCGTGACCTCTCACGCCTACGTTCTCGATCTCTGCTTCTAGAACGTCTGTCTTCTCCACGTTTTCTTTTGTCAGATGGAGAACGGCTTCTAGAACGACTACCAGAGCGTCCGCGTGACGCAGAGCGCTTCCGATAATGCCTGCATGGTAAATTCACAAAAAAGGATGAACATGAGCATGAGAAAAATTTGTAGTTAAAGGAGAGGACAGGACAAAACGAATTATTATTTATCTCAATTTGTTGGACTGTTAAAATTTCTAAACATTTCTAATAATATTGCCAAACAGATTAATATCCTCCTAACAATGCTGAAATCAGAGGGATTACTTGGTCGTATTTTTGTTTTGGTTTTAGAGTACTACTGTAAGCACATCACGAGAACACTAGGACATCAAGAACATTTTCCTTTTTAGAAATCCACTGATTTGCACTATACGTAGGAAAAGATGAAGACTCAAAATTTGTCTAACATATAAAACTGTTCTTTGTTGCTTTTTGTACAATATATAATTTTTATCCAGGTAAGCTAGGTAAGTTATACCTCTGCTCAATAGAAAAGCTGTCAAATTGCAAATAAAGAAACACAAACCCAGAGCATATGTGACACAGCAATGGTCAACACCTTTACAATACTGGGATCAAAAGAAATGCTCTAACATCATCAAACCTCAGGATGGAAGCTTTAAGTAGTGAGCAGCTTCAGGGGTGTGTGATAGAGATGGGAGCTTCTTTTTTCTCCCCTCATTAATGCTCTCTTATCCCAACCACACTTTGTTAGAGAGCAGGGCCAGGAACTCTCTAGGAAACTCTTCAGCTGAGTATACAAGTCACTGGGAGGCCTTGACTGTGACCATCTCCTCCTCCAATTCCTGATTTCCAGTCACCATGCCAGGGTAATTCCCCATTCACCCTCCCGTAGCCCAGGACTCCCAGTAGCCAGGCTTGGGAAGCAGGAAGAAGTGGAGAAGGCAAGATCTCAAGCCCCCCACCTCTTTTTTTCCCTTCCGTCATTGCCACGCAGGGTTGTATTACAACAGTATCGGCACTAAAAATAATAGAGTTTATTTCAGCACTTTGGTATATTTAGGTACCACCTACACTTGGAGTCAGTACAGTAGCAGCATGATATCCATATCCTGCCTATCAGCAGTACAACTGATCGCAAAGAACATCTGTCAGTGCCAGGTAGCTCTGATTTCCTTCCCACCTTTGTCACAAAATGCCATGGGATCTGCACGACACTTCCCCCCTTTCTAAACTTTCACTTTCACAAAAACTAATTTTATTTTCGTTTTCTTCTGCAGTGTGCAATAAAGCTGAGTACACAATTTCAGGTTTCAAAAGCCCTTGTCTGATGAACATTTCTTCAAATCAACTCCAGCACATGCAGCCCACCCCACCCATCTCCACCCACCATTCGCTCTCAGCCTCTTGCCATTTCTTCACTTTTAAGACTTTTTGTAGGTGTTAAAATAGAAAATTAATACAAGTTTTAACCTACTTTTTACATTATTTTAGCCCAAAGAGAAAACGCGTGTTATCGATAACACATTATCATCAGAGAAGCTGCAGGGTGATAAGCAAGGGAGCTCTGCTAGCTCGAGTGTCAGCAGCCTGGGGTTCTGGTTCCGGTCCCGGGAGACGGTGTCCTGCTGGCAGCAATTACTGCTCTAGCTAGTTTGGAACTAATTTAGACCTACCTATGGGAGTACCCAGCTCTTCACTGGATCACAAATTTGAGCTCAAGGCGGTTGTTAAAATTTCAACTCATCTTCAGTTATGGATCTAAGAAGCTGCAGGGACAGCTGGATGCGAGGACTATTGTGTCACAGATTTAATATTAAAACCTGACGGTTAGTTTAAACTAGGAGACAGAGACATTTGCCAACTTGAGGAGTTGGTTTAAAACTGTGAGCAGCTCCAAATCACCTGTCCGCACAGACCTGACCCGAAACACACGAAGGACACGATCACACGGGTCACAACACCCCCCAGGCGAGAGGAGCAGAGAGCTGCGATCCCGCGTTAACTCAAAAAGAAGAGGCAAAACCGTCTAACCCCGGTAACAAACCTCCCCTGGTTAATTACGCCATCGCTATTATCTTAAAATAAACCAACACCGGCCCGGCGGGCTCAGAG